TAGATAGATAGATAGATAGATAGATAGATAGATAGATAGATAGATAGATAGATAGATAGATAGATAGATAGATAGATAGATAGATAGATATGAATCACTTTTAGACCTTGTGTTGCATATATATTGTGTTCCTCCACATCATAGCGCAGGTTTGGACCCTCTGTGCTTACCTGAATTCAGGAGCCAGGTTGGATTTCAGGCCATAGAAGGCAGCAGATAAGGTCAAAAGCCAACGGGGAACAAAATTCCCATTCTCACACTCCAAGTAGGGCGCAGACCATCTGACGTGCGTCTTGTCCGGAATAAAACTCTCTCCTCTTTTCACTGAATTGTCCACCGATCTGAAATCTTGGCTCAGCGCTCTTTTATGGAAATTGGGGTTCTTCCTGTCTTTTATTTCGTGGTACCACTCTGTCTCTGCCGTGCGGTTGTGCAGATGTCGGTGGGCCATGCTGGAGAGGTCTTGGAGTACTATTTCACCGCCGGCCCTGGTGGCTTGAAGAAGCACCGAGGGCCCCGGGAAGGATGAATCCCCGCTAAAAGTAACAACCGCCCGGTGAATCTTGGCGTCTCCCTCCAGTATACTCCTGACTAACGCGTGGTACCACTCAATGTCTCGCCGGAGGTTGTGCTCCCTGGACCTGTTGGCTTGCAGGATCATGTTGAGGAAGTTTGTGGCGTGCAGCACCGTATCCAGCACGCTGCTCATGGAGTAATGCGGGGTAGCGTGTGACCTTCCCCGCAGAGAGGTGAGCTCGTACTTTCGCGAGCAGTTGGCATGCTTTAAGGTGGTCGAGTCCCCGGTGTGTAAAAAAGCCGTGACGACCCTGGGTAGAAGCTCGTCTGTCTTCTGCGGCAGCTCCGCCGTCTCCCCGGCAGCGTGATGAGGCGCACGGAGATGCGCCAGCTGCCAGCGGTGCGTCTGAGCGCCGTGAATCGCCTCCCGTGCCCCGTTATCCTCCCCGTGCCCTGACCATTCCGCGTATTTATGGTTTGATCCAATCACAAATCCAACTTGCAGCAGCAGCGACAGCCGGAAAACAGCCATCTCCCGCAAGAGAGCGACCACAGATGTTTGGGTGATTGCTGCTCGGAATTAACAGTGTCGTCGGGCGAGTGTGCTGTAGAAAAAACACAGAGAACCTATCAAATTGCCCCGCTAAACCATCGCTTCACCACTTGTAGGATATTCTTCTGTGCTCCACGCCTCTGTTCTTGAAATCACAAAAAGAGGGAAACCCGCCAGGAACCCCTTCCCTCGTCAAATGCCTTCTCCTTCCTCACAGATGCCTCATACAGCTTGTTGATGTTGAGTATCCGCTTGCAGCTGTTTCCCCCCACCTCTCTCTCTCCCTCTCTTTCACACACTGTAGACAAGACTGTGTTGGCTTTGCTGTGCCGCGGACGTTCTCCTTCTGCGTGTAGGCTACACAGACTGAATCAAAACGAGGAGGAGGGAGGGGTAAGGGGCGGTTATTATTATATTTATATGCTTTTTTTAGGAGGCACCGAGTCGAGGAGCTTCTCACTTGGATGGCAAACGCACTCCGCCCTCTTCCGACCACAGCAAGCATTAAGCAGGCCTATAAAAGCCACGAAGAAGCAACATCAGGATCCGTGCGCTTTCAAAGCCCGTCGTCTTCGTCGTCTCATAGGGGCTCCAGGAGCGCCATTGATCCGCGTGTGGCCGCTTCTTCTGTCAATCTCGAAGCGGTGTTTGGTGGAGCGGTGAAGGAGCTGTCCGGCGCTGAAACCGATGAAGCACTGAAGGAGCTGTCCGACGCTGAAACAGACAAAGTCACCCTCAGCCGATTTATCACAATCAAGCACTTAATTTTAGATCAATTTTCGGAGACTAAGATTTTTTTTTCTATCATCAGTGAGGGGAAAGCTTTATTAAATACGATTTGATTCATGATTGTAAACTTTTGGAGCAAGGTGCAGACTGGATTCATCTTTTCTTTCTTTCTTTTTTTTTTTTTCTTTTTTTTGCGCCTGTCCCGTTTGGCTCTTTTGCCATCAGAATTGTTGTCTAAAGGCATCTTTTCTTTCTAAATTTCTGCTATCTTCAGATCTGAAAGCTGAAATGCTTCTAACTAAGAATTTATCTGCGTTTCTCTGATTTTCACCTGCTTCCACAACAATTCACCTGACCTTCACATTTAAAAATATGCTGGTGTATTGTTGGATAGATGAATAAGTGCACCACCAAATCTGAAGTCATTTGGATGAGAGGTTCTCATGTTTTGGCTAAAGGTTTTTCTACAATAGAAATTAAAGCCAAGCCTCCAATCTCAGTTTAACCACAACAACAACGTGCTGCTCACTTAAACCTTGTAATGATGCCTGTGTTGGCTTAAGACTTTCTTCTTTGAGTTATTTTCATCTAATATATGATTGTGTGTTTTCTGATTGGTTTCATTGTTGTTTATATGCCTGCAGTAATCTTTCCAAGGAGCCCTCTGTGTATAAATAGTCCTGTCTTCCCTTCAGTATGGGGCACAGCATGCATCCGTCATGCTCAGCTGTTAGGTTTCCAACTGTGTGATCTTCAGTTTTTGGATTTACTTTGTTTCTGAACTTCGCTTATGGTCTAAAAAAGATCCATGCCCTCTTTATCACGCCTTTTGGTCCAAAACTGCACTGTTGTGCAGGGAAGCAAGAGCAGGTAGAAAAGTTCTGACTTTTCCAACATTTTGTCACTCTTTTGTTCTAAGATTCAAACTGGTTCCTCTAAAATACAGCTGGTATGTTTGGGTTTAATTTACATAAAAAGTCAGTCTGTGTCACTCACTGTTAATATTTAGACAGGCACGCACAGACACACACAAACACACACACACAGTGAATCTATCCTTACCGCACTTTTAAAGCAATAACTTTGTGTTTACCTACATTTGATGAGTTTAGGAGATACGACTGAATTGTAGGTACAAAAACTGACCACGAGATAACTGTGTTTAACTTTTGGGGGGCAATAAAATGTCCCCAAGCTCTAAAAACTCTATATTTGGACAATTTCCTTTGTGTGTTCCTCAGTCTGTTCCTCTCAGTCTTTTCCTGACCTAAAATGTAAAACAAACAAAAAAAATGTAAAAACAGAAAGAAATTAGAAAAAATACACATTTTGGTTATGTAAGTTGAATGAAAAGCATTTAATATTTTCTGCAGTATTTCTGTCTTTATTTCTGTGACACAGTGGTGCAGAAGGTAACAGCAAAAAGATTCTGGAGTTGAACTTTCATGAGATCTTCAGTCTCCCTGCGAACCTAACATGCATGTCCAAAGCCTTGCATGGTATGCATACTCAAGACATCACTGAATGCACACATTAATAAGGCATGTAGACACACCTATCATTCACATTGGCATGCAGTAAAATCAAATGTGAGATCAGAAAACCTTTGAAGCTTTGGTTAAAATTAAAGAAGTGCTATGCAAATACCCGTTCACATCTGAATAAATAACAAATATATGTAATATATAAATTAATGTGTCCCCCTGCCTCTAATTTTACCCACTTTTTAAGAGCTTTGATTAACATTATGGTACAAAATTTTCACCAGAGGTTCAAGTGCAAATAAGCATCATACAGTAGTAGTGCTTTAGCATGTAACACCCCAGTCATATCTCAAAATATATAATTAGGTGCTGTATTTTATGAGAGAATAAGTTATCTTTTTTTGCAACATATTGTTTTTTTTTCTATAAATTCTAATAAAAACTAGTGTTAGACATGTAAAAGTGCACTAACAGATGTGGGATTTTACTACACAGGAAAAAGAGGAACATGATGAGTTTTTTTATGTTATCTCCAATCCCTCTTCTTATCAGTTGATGCTCTTACATACACCCACACTCTCTCCAGCTCTGCCTTCATCCTGGGTGTAGGGCCATCTCATGTCATGCTGTGCAGTCCAGAGGCATCTCGCCTAGGAAGCAGGGCGAAGGAAGACAGGCATGACGGAGGGTGACAGAGCTGTGCAGCAGCCATGAAAGATGCAGAAAGTTAAAACCAGAAGACTTTTCTTTTTTGGGGAGGGGGGGGTTAAGTTCTACTTAGAGTAAAGCTGAATCCAAGGCTCCTTACTTCTCTTCCTTTGTTAAACTCTCCATATCTGCAAGTAAAGAGCCGACAACAAGACACCGGCAGCTACCGTTGCAGCACCGCTGTACACAAAACACTTGCTCCTAAGCAATCTGATTAGCATTCACTCTGCATTACCCTAGAGTGGAAAAAGCAGTAAGAACCACTTTATTCAGTTTATCTGTCCCAATTCAGTGTGTTGTTTTATTCTTTGGAAAGTCTTCAAATAAGAATACTTACAATTTACATTCTAATATTTAAAGTTTATATGCACACTAAATGTTAACCTATCTGCAGCAACAAGCATAAAGCATATCTATAATTAAGTTATTTCCTTTCTGTTTGGTCTCCAGCGGTTTATAGTTCTGTGCAAAATGCTACAAATGAATGCAACTGAAACAATAGAAAAATTCTAAACATCAGTCATGATCACAAGGATGGTGGTGGTAGCTTTGGTGGACATAACGCTTCCTTTTGAGGTGTGAGCCATCTGTATGGGTTCTTGCTTTTAATGCGCTGCCAGTTGGAGGCCATTATGATGAATATGCCACCAACACCACTTCCTGAAACTGAGAAATTGTGGTGCAGCTTAATTATGGACAGTTTGGAATAATGTGACATTTGAATGGCATGTAAATGAAGTGCAAACGTATTTTTAAAAAAACATAAAAGTAGTTTGGTTTATCAATTAGTAAAATTACAAAAATAAAATAGTCTCTACATTGACGTTTCTAATGTAAAATAACAGAAACATTTTATTTACTTTTACACAGAAAAAATATAAACATAATATGCTAAAATGCCTTCTTTATTTAAAAGATACAATTACTGAAAACTAGCTTTATGCTGTACAAACATATCAAAAATGTGATAAAATTAGTGTAAAATAACCCAAAAAATGACAGAGGAAAAAGGAATTTTACTGTAATTTTACATTGGTTTGTTTATTCATTAACAGACATTTGTGAAATTACAGAGGTTATCACCACAAAACTGGTGGAAAAATTGTATCAATGTTTTTTTATGAATGTATAAAATCTGCAAGTATTGTGTCAAAAGCTATCATTACGCTAATTTCACAGTTGATGTATTTCATATTACCAAAATTGGTAAAAGTTTAGTAAAATAATAACAATAGAAACTATTGAACCAACTCTTCCCTCTCATGATATTAAGAGGAGAGCGGACTTGCTAGCAATGCTAATGGCCGAGGTGATGTTAGCCGTTTTAGCTTTTCAGCTACCTGTACAAAATAATTAGCATTAAGTAGTATGCCTCTTTGGATTTAGACAGATTTATCTATTTACCTATTTAAGTGTCCCCTGTTCCCACATTTGTTATTCTTTCTCTCGGCAGATTCATTATGACTTGTTGGTGTCAAGGGCTAGTGAAAAGGTGAGTTTGCACCATATGCGTTTTAGTGATGTTTAGAAATTACACTTATATTTACGTGAAAACCCTGAAAGATTATATATATATACATATATAGAATGAAATTTGAAAATATAGAATGAAACACTTGAGTATATAGAATGAATGAACCTCATGTTTAGAGTTGAGGTTTTCTGAATTTTCTGCCTTTAAAAAATGGCATCAGCTGAACTATTTCAGTATTTTGTAGATTTTGAGTCTATATTGCGTCAACTTGAAAATCACATTTTCATTATTGAAACATTTCTAGCTCCCACAATCTTTTTTAAGGATTTTTTTGTTAAATTTTTTTTCTTTTTTTTTACGGTGCACATTGTGAGATTTTGTTTTAATAGTTCAAGACCTTATTATGCAGGGGGGTGGCTCTGGCTCAGGTAGAGCAGTTTGTGTACTAATTGGAAGGTTGGCGGTTCAATTGCTGCTGCTCCAGATACTGAACCCCGAGTTGTACCCGATGCATACACAGGAGTGTGAATGTGTGTGAATGTTAGACAGAAGGCACTTGGACATAGAATAACATGCTTGCGTGAATGGGTGTGTGAATGGATGAATGCAGTATGTTGTATTAAGCGCTTTAAGCGCTCAAGTAGACATAAAAGTATTAGAACCAGTCTGTTCACCATTTATCATGCACCCAACAGTAGTGAGATGCATACTGTTTCCTGGAATGTGCATGCATGGGACACTGTAACAGCATAAGGATCCCACAATGCAATGCAGACAAAACATATAATGCACTGAAAAATATTCACTGTAGCTGAGATCCAGTGTCAATAAGACTTTAGTTTAAGTGTTCATACTTGATTTTATTGTTTACATTTGTCAATAAATCAGTGGAGCATCTCAAACAAGATCAAACAAGGTTGTTTTAGCCACTGGCAATGTGTCAAAAAAAAGAATAAATAAACTGGGAGGGGCACTGTCTCAGATTTTGGAGTTCTAATTTAGACAATACAACACATTCATAAATGAATATCTTACATCATAAAGTCTAAATTATTTTCACTTGTAAGGTTGTTATTTAAATAAATCTAACTTATACTGAATTCACTTACTTTCAAAGCAGCTGTTCTAATATCATCTAAAATTGAATCTGACTAAAAGTCCTTACTGTAGCCACTTTGGTTATAGTTTGGTGACTTTCACAGTGTTCTCTTTGCGCTCTTCCTTTTCTGACCTGCGTGTGAATATTGTCAGGATTACTGGGATGAAAACAAGGCCGTGAACCATCCCGATAAACATGACAAGAAAAAAAATCTTAAAAAATGTTCTAAAGGTGTTAAACTTTGAAACGGACAACACTGACACCCCGAAAATGGTGGACAAGCCACCTTGGAGGACGGGGA